GGATTTTTTTTAAATGATTAAAATATTAGATCAACGAGTCTCCTATTTATTAGTGAAGGACAACGATTTCAATATATTTAATTTTTTAAAATTTATTTTAGTTGATTTTATTTAATTAAAATTTTAGAGTTTTTTTTTAAGAAAATAAAAATAAAAAAATATTTTTTCGACGAAGTCTCCTATCCGATGAGACCGATGTCACCAAAAAGAACGTCTAAAATTTTTTTGACGAGTCTCTCATCCGATAAGGACCGACGTCAACCAAAAATCATTTAATCGAAATGTCCTGCGACACATCGGTTGTGTCAAGGCTTAAAGTGGACCCGATGTTTGAACCGATGAAGGAGACCGACGATCGTTTCAATACGATGCTACGCCCAAAACTAAAAATTCAATTTGTCTTAAAAAAATGAGAGTTTAAAAATCAGAAAATAATTTGACATAAATAAAATATTTTAGGAGATGAATTTAGAGCTAAACCATACATGGTACCTTTTTTTGAAAAGGGTATTTTTTGTTGATTAAATATCTTGCTGAAAGTGTAATCAACTTCTTACCATAGGATCTCCGAATCGGTGCCTATATTAAGTTCTTAGTTTCTTTAATACTAGGTGACGACTTCAAACATTATAAATAAACTTGTAAATAATAATTAACACTTAGATTTAATATTTTAAGGAATTCCGTTCGATGTCTTGTAGCGACATTGAAAAATGGTTTTGTTTTCATCAAAATTATATATATATACTCGAGAAAACAGGAATTATTACCGATAAGAACACACATGCGTCCCCGGGAAAACATAATGAGACCCAACATCATCTACTTGGACTACACTCGTTCCCAAAGAAAACTACCATGATAGCTTATAAAAGCTGTTCGTGTGAGTAAGATAAATCCAATTAGTGACATAGAATCCAAAACCACATGATAATCGATATCCTTTATATTTCTTTGGCTTTTAGAGTATCTCCAATGGTGCTCTTTACTTTTAACTAGCATTTTTAATGTAAATAGAGAGTATCATTAATTATATAGATAGAAGATCAATATCTTCTCTAATGCTACTCTCTATTTAACTCTTTATTTTGACAAAATCTATAAAACTCATAGAGACTATTGGCGAAGAGGTTGAGTGGCATTGGAAATAGTAATTTTCATTAATAAAATATAAGATAAAGAGTCATTTAGACTCTCTAGTATTGGAGAGCCAAAGACACTCTTTATACTAATTTTAAAGATAAAGATTGTGATAAAGAGAGTATTGGAGATGAAATTTGGATCAAAACTCTTTATTATAAAGAAAAATCTTAATATAAAGAGAGCATTGGAGATGCTCTTAAGGGTGATCTTTGTTTATTTCGAATATTTTGTCCAATTGTGTCATTTTTTTAAAAAAATAAACCGGATCATATTTTATTTTATAATTTTTTAAAAGAAAATTATAAATCTAATTAGGTGACCTAGACTTCAAAACCACATCATCAATAGAGTAAAATAATGGAAAGTTAGTGCATGAATCATGAGAAATACCAAAGATCCTACTTTGATATGAATCCAAATACAACCGGTTTAACTTAACGCTAGCATTAAAGTATATCTGCAACTGTTAACGAGTAAGACTGAGTGATTAACAATAACTTATCTATCCTAGTTTGTTGCATTGTCTACCGGACTTGGGACATGGAGGAATATTTGGTGGGGAGTGATGATGAAAGATAGTGTTGAAAAATGGTTTTGTTTTACAAAAACTTAAAAGGTTTTTTATTTTCATTTTTTGAAAGTGATAGGGTCATGTAAGGAATGGATTTTGTGATTAAACATTGGATTGAAAAATTATTTTGTTTTTTTGTTTTTTTTCGAAGGTATGGGTGCGCAGAAACCTGGGTTAAAGAGTTTCTATTTTTTGAGAGTAGTAAGGTCAGGTGAATAATGGGTTTCGAACACTGAGTAATAGTGGGGTCACGATCACCAGCTTCAAAAAGGAGCCTTTTTTTTTTTAGTCTTTAAACATTTGAAATTTGATTAAAAGGAGTAATTATGCCACATGCGCCATTTAATTAATTGAATTAACAAACAAAAAGTTATAAACGGAAAAAGATCTTAACGGTTGGAATTTCTTTTAAGTTCTGATTATTTCGACTCTTGAATACCATTTAAAATCAAATGATTTACATGTATTTTTAAGATTTTAATTTTTTTTAATTTTAATTAACAATATTTTGATAAAAAAATTATTTATAATTGAAAAAATTAATCAAAAGAATAAATTAATAACATACGTTTTTTTTAATTAAAAACGTAAAAATATATTAAAAATTCAATTATTATATAAAAACAAATGAAGCTCAGCTTTTTTTGTAACAATCTTCGATTGACTTGAAGCAGACAACAACATCCATTAAATCGTAAAAAAAGCCAGCCATTAAAATACATGAATTACTGCTAAGAATAACACATATGCACCTCCCAAGAAAAGATAACGAGCCCAACATCATCCACTACAATACACTGTTCCAAAAGAAAATTACTCGTGAAGCACGTGGTGGGAAACAACTACCATGATAGCTTATAAAAACAGTCCGTGTGAGTGTAAGATTGCTTGAGAAAAGTTCACCACGTGAGAAACAACGACGTGTTAAATAATGGAAAGTTAGTGCCTAAATCATTAGAAATACCAAAGATCCCACCTTGATATGAATCCAAATGGAAATGGCAGCCACCCCGAACAAATACAGCATGTTTAGCTTAACGCTAGCATTAAGTTATATCTGCAACTCTTAATGAGTAAGACTGACTGATTAACTAAACTTATCTATCCTAGTTTGTTGCTGCTTACGTCCTTTTTCTTCCCCGAGTTTTTTTTTCGGTTTGTTATTTATGACATATTTGGTGCATGACAGTAGCGTGATACTCTTCCATAAATAGATACTGGAAAAAACTGCAAAGGTTTCACTGTCAATTTGCTTCTAAGAAATTGAAACCTAGATGTAGTTGGTGACTTTGATCAACAAATCAACTAACTGATCTCTCTTGACATAAATTGAACTTACAGCTCTCCCTTATCAACATTATATCGGACAAAACGGTAATGGATTTCCATATGTTTTGTTCGTGTATGAACATGAGATTTACCGCTAAACAAGTTACCCTAATATTATCATACCAAAATGTCAGTTTAGCATAATTAAATCTTATGTTACTGTTTGGAGAGTAATTTTTCAGCCTTATATTACTAGGACTTTAACATGTCCTTTATATATATGTACAAGTATAATGTATCTAGAATTCTAGATAATACAATGGATAAGAACTAAAGAATACAAGTAATTCACTAACTACCGTAGCAGAGTTCTTGTAATTAAAAAACTCTCTAGCAGAGTTTATCTCCGAAGTAGTTGCATTCTAACAAACTATTTCACTATAGCAGAGTCTATCTCTTCCTTGTCCGTTGTTGTCGACTCTTGTCTCAATACTCCCCCACAAACTAATTGTGGACGACTTCCAACGGTGAGTTTGTCCCTTAAAAATTCAAACCAGGCGAGTGGATAGATGTTTGGTTAGAATATCCGCAATTTGATCCTATGTGAAAATGAACTTTATTTGCAAGGTCCCCCTTGCAACCATGTCTTTGACGAAGTGAAAATCAATTTTTACGTGTTTAGTTCTTACATGGAACACTAGGTTTATCGCCACATAAGTGGCTCCAATATTATCACACTAAATAATCGGCTTGTGAACCGGTGTCACGTCAAGCTCGGCTAGCAAAGATGTGTCCCAAGTGATTTTGACTATAAGATTTGCGATAGCTTTGTAATCGGCTTTGGTAAAGCTTCGGCGATCGTCTTCCGCTTGACGGATTTTCAAGTGATTAAATTCGACCTTAAGTAGACAACATAACCCCCCGTAGATTTTCTATCATCCAAAGAACTCCGCCCAATCTAAATCGGAGAAACCTATCAATAGTTGAGAGTTTGATTTTTGAATGTGCAAACCATAAGTGTATGTGTACTTCGGGTATTGCAAGATGCTTTTTACAACCACCCAATGTTCGAAGTAGGTTGGCGCATGAACCGACACATTTTGTTCACAACATATACAATATCCGATCCGATCGGAGCGAGTATATTGAAGGGCACCTACAACCTGTCTATACAAAGTCTTATCTAAAAAGAATTCAGCATCTCCATTTTTTAGTTTTGAAGTGGTGGGCATGGGTATGGTGATGGGGTGGCAATCAAGCATTCCCTCGTTTAGTAAGAAGATCATGTATATATTTCTATTGAGAAAGTATAATACCCGTTGATGTTTTAATCACCTCTATGCCCAAAAAGAAGCTAATATCACCGGGTCTCGTGTTGCAAATTTTGAGTTCGGAGCATGTATTACTTGTCTCTAAAAAGGCTGAATGGTCATTAGTGATGATGATTTGTCAACATAGACTAACATGAATGCTCTATAACCCTCGGCTTTGTAGATAAATAGAGAAGAATCTGTTTTAGACCCCTCAAAGCTAAAATTTAGGAGAAATTTCTAAAGACAAGATTACCAAACCCATGGAGACTCGTTTAAGACCATAGAGAGATTGATGGAGCTTACGGATGTAGTCGGGAAACTAGGAGTTAACAAAGCCCATCTGGTTGGGCCATACGGACTACTTCATGTAATGTGCCATTTAGCAATGCATTATGCACATCGAGTTGCTTGATGGGATAATTGTATGAGAGTGCTAAGGATAAAATAACTTTGATAGTTACGAGCCCGACCACTAGATTGAAAGTTTCCCTAAAAATCAATCCCCTCCTCGTTGGTGAAAACCTTTTGCAACTAACCTTGCCTTGTATCTTTTTATGCCGGCATCTGCATGTTTTTTGGTTTTGAAGACCCACCGGTTGCCTATAAGGTTCATGGCCTCGTGTAGGGAGGACTGGGGACCAAGTTTCAATTTTTAGAAGAGCAATTATCTCGACTCCATAGCGATTAAAAGATTGAAAGAGTACGATCGACAACAACAAGCTCTATCTCTTTATTTGCCACCACTCTTTTAAGTTCTTTCACCTCCTTCAAAATTGCAAATATTGGAGTATGAGTAATGCAAATTACATAGATGCAATTTAAATATTTTTTTTTTTATATTCAACAATAAATATGTTATCCGACCAGCTTTCATGCAAGATTTGCCTTAATAAAGATGAGTATAGACGATTGAAAATTACCTTAAAAAAATATGGAGACAAATATAGAAGGTAAAAGTTTATGGAGGTGAAGGTGTACCTCCATTGTCATCCCCAGACAAGGTGTCTCTAATGGTGATTTATCAGTCACATAACTTGCTTAAAAGCAACATTATTTTTTATAAAGACTGAAAATCAAAATTGAATGACATATATGATGCACAAAAATATTCTTGGGTAAATTTTATTTTTGCTCCTATAGATTCATTAAGGTCCTAGTTCTACTACTATAGTTCAAAATTTTCTAGTATTATCCCTCTAGTTTCCAAAATTTCCAATATTCCCGACGCCATTAAAAAGCTTGCTGTTTAAATTGGGTTTCTGAATTTTTTATTTTTTATTTTTTATATTTTATATATATATATATTTTTTGGGAAGGTTTTTAAGTGTTTTTTGATATATTATAACATACCTGGGATGTGAGAGGAAAAATGAGAGAAATATAAGAATTTTTTTTTTTTTTAAAAAAAAGAAAACGGTAAGCTTTTAGTAAGTAAATAGTTATTAAATAAAAGGACAAAACTGAAACTTTTTAGAACTTATAGGATAACATTTATATAAAAATTTTTTAGAAATTATAGGATAAAATTTATATATTTTAAATTATGAAAAAAAGATAATAGTAACTATTTCATAGCAAAACGGAAAGATTCTATATGCCTTTACAACGAAGCAATGCTAAATTGTAAAATTCAACTAATTAAATGCAAACAAGTGATCGGTGAAGATATATCAACAAGTTAGAGTTTTTAGATATATAATTAAACTGCCCATTCTTCCTTTTTTTAATTTTTTTTTTTTTTTTGGTATTACCATGATCTCTCACCATAAATAAATAAACAAATAATTTATAATTACTCTAGAAAGAAAAATTCTAGCATACAATCTACTTGAGGAAAAGGATGGCAAGAAAGAAAATGGGTACCATACCTCGTCAGCAATTGACAGTGACATGTCTGCATTGGCTAGCTCGTACCTTCGTATGGCCAAAACACATTGTCATTGCTCCTCCTTTTTGATGTGAAAATTTTCGATTAAACATCATTAAATTGTTGCTAAAAATTCAAGTAATCATCAGCTAGCAAAAGAAAATATCTATCATTAAAGTAATATGGAAGATAATTTGGTACGCTTACCACTGTTAATTTCCAACAACTAAGAACTGGGGGCTCTTCAGATTGAAAGTATTCATACTGTTCGCTCAAACCAAAATGTAGCATAAGAAAGCAGACATGAGTGAGCAACTCTCCACCTCTTCTCAGTTGTTGAGCATGTTCTTTCCATGGACAATGGGCTGCAGCATGAGAAAGCATTTCAATCCAAACTTCGTTTATCATCTCAAATCGCTTCGCAAATTCCAGTGACCGCAATTGCTTGGCAAGCCTATGCCCGCCATCTAGCACGGACTTGGTTGTTCTCCAGTCAGATTGAAAGTCTACTATCATATCGTTGGTGGCTACAATTAAAAGATTGAAGGAGTACAGTCCACAACAACAAGTGATGATGACATAGATGTAGCAAATGTAGCATATACATTCAAGCAGTTCATCCGGTGTGCTTAACACCGACGATGATTCTACCCAACTTCTAGACGATTCAACTCAACCTTCGAACCTTCGAGTGACGATCCTACTAGTCAATCTTAGTGTATTATGTTTTATTTTTTGTTATAACAACAAATCTTCGAATGTTTATGATAATTTATTAGTTTAATAATATGTTTTACTTTTAAATAATTTTTTTCAATTTTGAAATTTTATCCATTGGGTTTTTTTTAATTTTAAATTGAGATTTAAAAAAAAATAGAAATAGGTAACTAGCGACAGAATTAGAGACGGAATAAACTGTTTAATTAGTGACGATATAGCTTCCCATCACAAAATTATCGCAAAATTGCTACGGATTTACGACGGTTCTAGTCCATCTCAAAATTTAGAGACAAACATAAATCCTTCACAAAAACCACCGTAAAAATTAGAAACGGTCTTAACCATCATAAAATTTATTGATTGGCATTTTTTTGAAGTTTTTTAGACCGTCGCAAAATAAAATTAGCGATAATTTTTGTATGATTAAAGACGGGCTAAACCGTTGCTAATTATATATTTTTTTTATAGTGGGTGGGGGTGGGAGGTGGTAGAAACTAGAAAGTAGCTAGTGTGGCTGAAAGTATTTGTGGTAGGAGGGGGCAGTAGCTACTAAAAGGAGGCAGTAGCGACTGGAAGTATACAGTAGCGTTTGAAAAGAGGCAATGGTGACTGGAAGGAGGCAGTGGCCTAGTGTCGGCTGGGATTATGTTTGGGAGGGAGGAGATAGTAGTTAGGCTAGAATTTTTTTTTGGGAGGAATGAGTAGCAGCTGAGGCTGGCGGGAAGAAAAGAAGAGCGGTAGTTAGCCAAGATGCTCTGATACCAAATTAAATCTTATGCTACTGTTTAGAGAGTAATTTTTCAGCCCTTGTATTACTAGGACTTTAACATGTCTTTTATATATATGTACAAGTATAGTATATCTAGAATTCTAGATAATACAATGGATAAGAACTGCAGAGTACAAGTCATTCAAAAACTACTGCAGGAGAGTTCTTATAACTAACGAACTCTGCAGAAGAGTTTATCTCTTCCTTGTTTGTTGTGGCCGGCTCTTGTCTCAATAAGCAGTCATAGGAATTCTCAGTTCTACAATCAAAGACTTTAGCCATAAAACTTCAGTTGCTGTGTCAGCTACAACCTTATACTATGTCTCTGTTGAACTCGTGGATACTATCTTTTGCTTTGGTGACCTCTAAGAAATCAAATTATTGCCAAGAACAATTGCAAAACCCCTCGTTGATTTTCTATCTTCTAAGTTTCCTACCCAATCAGAGCTAGAAAAATCTTGCAAGAAGTTGTTGCTGTGATGATTAAGAAGCAATCTTTAATCCATAGATTGTTTTAAATAACAAAGGATGCATTTGACAGCTATCCAGTGTTACTCTTTAGGATCATGCATATACTGAGAGACCTTGTTAACTGCAAAAGCTACATCAAGTCATGTTAAAGTAATAGAGTGCACCATTATTATTATTATTATTGGTATAAGGTGAAATCAACAATGGAAGTGTCAGAAGAAGATGTAGTTCACAAGTAGTTGGCATAGGGGTATTGAGAACTTGGCATTCCATACCTATTTTCGCAAGAGATTTGCCACATGTTATTTTTAAGATAATAGGATTCCATCAGCAATTGTGATTGCTTCCATGTTTAGAAAATAACTCACGGCTCCAAGAACAAAAATGGAGAACCATTGATTGAGTGCTTTGATAGAAAAAATGGTTGGATCCAAATCTCTAATAATAAAGATGTCGCCCGCGAAAAAAAAAAACAACTACAACACTTGATTTCCATGTTTGTTACACAAGAAAAGAGAGCGAACTGTTTTAGATGACTAGAAACCTAACTCTAAAAGGAAATCATGAAGAAATGCAAACTAAACCTGTAGAGACTATTTTAGACGAAAAAAAATGAGCGATTTAACTTGCACACATGATTGTGATAAGATTTACTAATAAAACCTTAAGGTTGCTCCATAAAAACCGTTTCATCCCAGACTCTATGAATGGTGAACTTTAAGCTAGTGAATAATCCATGATTTTGTTACAATAGTGAATATCACCTACAGTATCATTATTTTTTATCCCCTTTTTTCAATAATCAAGATCTAATAGTATAGATTTGGTGTTTTTATTTTATTCTATACTTCATCTATTTTTACTCCTTATTAGTTTTTTTTTTTTTTTTTTCATAGCCTATATGTGGGTTTGTGGTGCTACAAAGAAGATTTTTCAAGGACGTTAGTGATTAATATCTAGAACCCATACTATTGCATAAAAAATTAGAATATTTTAAAGTAGCAAGGCTATTAGTGGATTCTTAGAGTAAAAATACATGCCCAACTGTCCATTCCTCTTATAGTGTAATTTTTCAATACTGAAAAACTTGTTTTTTCCTCATAATCTAGCTTTGTATTTCAATTTTCTTGGTAAAATTTTGTTTATGTAATTTCGGACGCACTTCAAAAAAAAAAAAAAATCATTTAAACCATTGCTAAATTGAAAAAAATTGTCACAAATTAAACTTAACGATGGTTTAGAGATGGTTCAAAACCATCGCTAAAAAGCTAGATGCTAGATAAACCAACCCCGATGCCACCCATCTTGCTCATACGAGTTTCGGGCCATTTGCTCGGATTGGGTCCGAGACTCAAGTTTTGCCCATTTCTTCTACCATGCATCCCATCTATTATGTAAGATAAACATTGGTTTGGGATGTGTCTTCACATGATAAAAAAGTCGAATATCGCTTTGATACTAGATTCTACCATCCTTTCCTAATGCTTCAATCTAACTCTCGATCCCACATAAAGAACTTATGCAAAAACGTTTAAAATGTTCATTAGTACATTTAAATAAACATTAAACAACTTAATTGAAATATATTGTCACATAATAAATTAAGCTAAATATTACGTTAAACTCCTTCCATTAAAATTCTTTAGTTTGCTTGGTAATTGACTTTCATGTCATTTTGGATAGGTTAACAAGCTTATGGAATATCTTATAGATTCAACCAGAGCACATATCGGATGGATGCAATATGTCAAAATAATTAATGGTTACATGAATGCATTAATATAATAATACATCATAAAAAAAATATGCATAATATATACTCCTTGGCATTAATGAGAGTAATCGAATGTGAGAATCATATGTAGAATCGATAGGTATAGAAGACGTATCGAAAGGGACATATGGCGATGGGCCATGTGCATGTGCATAATGGTCGTCTTGTTGAGGTATGTGCCCTAATGATGACAAGGTTCAAAAGTGTTGGCACGTGGTCGATACCGATGAGGCTTGGGCTGAGACATGTCAAACAATGATGGGTATGATACGGGGATTGTGAGAGGGAATGCACCAATGTCAAGGAGAAGGGATATACGACTTGGAACGAAAATAGGACTCTGCCCACCTCCATGGCCATTACCATTTTCGGTGTTTAAACCTCAATCCTCACCATCCGATATGGCCATTGCTTATGGAAACATCCCCTACCATAAGGCATAACTAACACGTTATCATATTAATTAGTTAATTCAGCACAACAACTACAAAACGGACCTTTTACCTAAGCAAGTTAAAATACATTTATTTTATGATCAATAAATGCTTTCATTATTAAACAATTGGTCAAAACTTAGGGTATTATTTTGCCTAAAATGCCCTTTTCATTTTCCTCTATTGGCAAAACATTTTGTCCAAAATACCTTTAATGAGCTACATCTCCTAAGGTGATATTTTACACTTAGATATTTTAATTTGGATGGAACACCTACTTAGGGTATTATTTTTCTAGATTAATACATGTTTAGGTCACTAATTGAATTTTTAAATCCTAAGCTATACATGTATGAGAATATTTAATTAAACTATATTTTCTAAGTCTTTCACTTGTCAATTAATTTACTATTAACACATAACACTTAATAACATTAATTTTGCAAACAAAAAACTTATGAATAATAACACAAGCATAACATGAATATACCTAGCAAAACAAACATGCACACAAAGCGTAGAAAATAAATTCAAGTATTAGAATAATGTTGGTAATGATGGATGATTTGGCTTAGATGATGTTTTGCTCATGGTTGCTTGGCTTGATGGATGATAATAGGTTAGGAAACTACTTAATATCACTTGATTATGTGTTTAGGTGTTTAAGGCATATTTGAATGATTGAGATATTCTAAGATAATTCAGCTTAAGAATGCTTAAATGAAGAATTCATGCTTAGGATGCCATGTGATGAATTTAGCCAATGGCCATGAAATTATTTAATATTGTTATGGCTTAGTGAAATTTAGGTTTGATAACCGATTAGATTGTTTGGATTGTGTTCATAATTGGTTTAGACTTGATAATATTCAACCTTGTCATAACTTGTGAAATGTATTCATGAATGACTCAATGCAATATAGCTCATATTTATGTACATGCTTGATGTTGCCTTTTAATTCATTCACACTATGAAATATTTTATGTCGTGATTGCAAACATTCAAAAAAGAATATGTACATAATTTTTATAAGGACGTGGTTTTATGAGGACATGACATGGCTAGGTAGGTTGAAGAGGAACAATAGAAACTATCAACCCTTATCAGTTTTATTGAATCAAACATGTCTAGAACCTATATTGCAAAAGAGAGCTGAAATAATATGTATTTAGCATGGTGCACTCGAAAGATAGAAAATAATTTAAAACATGAAATATGATGTTTTCATTATATTAATGCATAGTTACATTTATTGAGTTTTAGCACATTTTGTTTTATCTTGTGATGTAAGTGAATGAAGCAATGCTTGAGGACATGTAGATGTGTTGGGCATGTTGGCTATGAGACTGGAGAGTTTTTCAAATCATGTACTATATGTGTAGGATTAAAGTTTAAAGGTTAAATCATTGTTAGGTTCGACCACTTATAGATAATGCCTAGATTCGACCATTTTGAGTTGTAATGGTTGACATTTTAGTTTATTTTAGTATGTTTACATTTATTAGATTCAAGGATTATGAGAAATGATGTCAATTTAGATATGTTGATGAATTATTCCAATCATGGATGCATTGATGCAATTATGAAAAAGGTAACAAGTTAGTTTGAACATGAATAGTTTTAAGCTTGTTGCCATTTGTTATTTTCAATTCAAGGATGAAAATGAAATGTTATTGGATATTTATAAATGGTTTAGGTTATGAAAAAATTGTTAGCACTAAATGTCAAATTTTGAAAGTTTTGAATTTTAAAGCTGAATAAGGAATTCTGTTGTGCAATATGATAGAGATCCAAGATAGAGGACACAATGTATTGCCTTGCACTCTCGGTGTGAGATAGTATAATAGCACTCTTAGCTTCCTATTGGATCGTGGGTGTTACCTAGACAATGAGCTTTTATGCTTAGTCTTTCTTTTTAATGGCATCACCATATGTCCATGTAATCAAGTTGTATGTTGGCTAGACAATAAGTTTTTTATGCTCAATCTTTTTTGCTTATGTTAATAACATGTTCATCTAGTCAAGTTACGCAATAGCTAAGTTGTGAACATTTATTTTCACTTTTTTTTTCTCAAGGCAACACTACATTCATCTAGGCAAATTGTGTGTTGGTCGAGCCATGGATATTTCATACTAAGTTTTTCTTTATGATAGAAACCCATGTCCATTTAGCATTGACCGGGCTGTAAGCTTTTAAAGCTTAGGCTATTTTTTTTTTTTTTTGGTAATTTTATGTCCATTTGGTCAAATAGTGTGCTGGCTAGAAATTGAGTTTTTCACACTTAGTATTTATTTTTTATTGCAATGTCAGGTTCATCGTTCATCTGGCTAAGTTATGCACTAGTAGGGTGTGAGAATTTGATGCTCAATATTTCTTTCTAATAGTAAGGCTATGATTGGCCACTCTACACACTAGCTAGTGAAACGAAAGCATTTCATACTCAATTTTTCTTTTGATGGTTGATGTAGGGTAGGGTATATTGAAGTGAGTGATTCAGATTGTGCTTGGAAGATTTTTCAAGAGAGATTCTGAATTCAAATATTTGTGTTGGTTTACAATGTTAAGTGAGTTTGCATGAAATGGAAAGATTTTGAAGTGTTTGAGACTCTTTAATCAAATGCCGAGTAGAAATAATCAAACTGACTAAAGAACACTCTTTATGGTCAAATAAATAAACAAGAAATATGTTGTAAAAATCGTTGTATATCCACTCTATAGATGAGACTGAGTGAGATTGAAAAAACTTAAACTTTATATATATAGCCGGTGGAACCTTTTGCTAACGTACCACAATAATTAACAGGAACAAAAACCCATTATTGTTCATTTATTTATTTTTACATCATACATAGGGATGACTGATGAGATAATGGAGACCGACAACATAAAAGTAGCTATTGGATAACAATGATCTGTTTCCTTTTATTTAATAGCTACCTATAATTATAACTTACGGCAAAGACTGCGAAAGTTAAAATAGTTTTAGACGCCACTGCTGCTTAGGTCCGCCAGAGTGTACCCAAAGGACTAGTCGCTGAGGGAAATTTACTTCTGCCACATCTATTGCGAATCCACTGGACACATTAATGATGGTCCCATTTGCTTCCTTGATTTCCCAAGTTTGGTAAGCAGACGAATCCGGGCTACATGGGGTGATTAGAATAGGGCTTCTTAAAGTGAGATCGTTAGCAGTGAGGCAGTTGTTGTCGTTCTGCTGAGTCCGAATAGAACCATCTGCATAAAGATTCCATTTTTGTTCTCTCTTATCTTTGCTGCATTTCATTAGCTGTAGTATATGTCTGTTCGATTCCAAGCAGAGATCATTAACCCCAACAATGAAAAACGGTAGTGGTGTCCCAACATTGTTGGCCGGCCCACCTTCGCCGGAGCCATACATTTGGATTGTTGGCTTTGTCTGTGCATCGTTTGCCATAACATGGTTATCATGGATTGCCATTGACCAAGCCAATGTTGCCATCAGAATGAACGACTTCATGTTTCCTTTCATTTCCAAGGAATTTCGACTTTCACCTGTCAAAATATGTGAAGATAATCAAAATTTAACTTATCAATCCACCAAACTTCCAAAATACAATAAACCGCACACACATTCAATCCTGCACTGTGAGCGGGAAGAACAAAAGTGTAAAATGTCTGTGCGTTAAGGCATTAAATTAATGGTTAAAACATCAATGGAAAGGGAAGATGCCAAGTACAGGGAAAACACTAGCAATGATTAAAAAATAAACCTGTGAGAAAGCTTATAATTTTGCAGATGAGGAAGAAAGCAAAGAGTGTTGATGATTTTTAGTGTTGCATCTGCTCTCTATTTATAATGGCTCGTGGCGTATAAACTATCCCCACCACGTGCTTCAGGAATAATTGTGTCGTCAATAATTCACGAAAATAGTTTGGAGTATTTTTTGTTTTCTATGATTTAATGGATACTGTTGTCTACTTCAAGTCAGTCTAAGATTGTTATTGTAAAAAATATTGCTTATTACACCACATTATTTGGAACACGAATCATAATTTATTAGGAACATGTTGGCAATTGATGTAATTATAATGGCTCATGGCAGGAATGCTCGTGTTCCGGTCAACACAATTATGATCTGCTTTTGTTGAATTACGGTCCATTCTTTTCATATGGTTGGTGTCAATTTTTAATACGAGATTTATTTATTTATTTTTAATTTTTAATCTCTTTTATCTTAAAAAAAGGCCTAATTATTATTTAAAAGATTTCTTTTCCCGATCGATATTAAATGCCATTATTATTGAAAGGAGTTCTTATCCTGTTGAATTAATTGGACATTTGTGGTCATGAATGGAATCTATGCAGAAACAAATAGTTAAAACATATAAATTGATATCTTAAGTAATAATAATTATTAAAAAGAGGTATTTTCCTTCAAGATATTAAATACAATTATTTATACACATCTACTTTGGCCTCATCTATCACGTATTCACGTGTATGTAAGGTACATACATTATTTTAATTTTCGAATCCATAATCCATGTGACCTTCGAATATAATTATTTTTATATTCAATATGAGATAAAACTATTTATGTAAAATTAAATAATAATAATAATAATAATAATAATAATAACTCTCTGTTGGGTGACAAATATATTTCATGCGTGCCTCGTTTGTTTTTTTAAAAATGGATGTTAATTTGGTGAAATGGACGTGCATGGGCTAAATTTAGCAAATTTTCATAATTTTTTTTCTAGAGAATAAATTGGGCAAATTAATCGTTATTTTGTTTGTCTAAATTAAATCACTTGAAAACATATTTTTGCCTTGATTGAACAGTACACCTTTCATTTCGTAAATTACGACTAAATAATTAATAGTGCAGAGATTTCTTTTTCTTTGTAATAAAGGGCGGCGATTGGGATATATGCTAAAATAAATAGTTAATACAGCTGTAATTAAAATGAAATCATATCTCAAGTAATAAAAAAGAAAAAAGAAAAAGAGAGTTATCATCCTGTTGAATATTGAGCAATTAAATATATAATTTTTAAATAGTTTAATATATTTTTATACACATCCAGTCATGTATTGGGAAAAGACTTCTTCGAATCCTCATCTGTGTCATATTGAAAGGGTTTGCAAAATATCTTCTATCTCATAGGACAAAAAAAGTTTGGCACATTTTTTTCTTTTTTTTTTTCAACAAATAAGAAATCTTTGAATTGATTTGTACATAATCAAGATTAAGTTTTTTTTTTTAATAAAAAATAATGTGATTGTATTTGGTTAATTTATCTATTAAATTTAATTAAGAAATTAGTTAATGTTAGAGAAAACTATAGTTATTGAGCATAGTTTTTGAATTTTTTTTATTTTACTTTTGGTTTTGTTGTCTAATTAGTATTTTGATTTTGGGAGTTGTCACCTAATGTTATAAGAACTTAGAAAACTAAAAATAGCACTAGTTTAGAGATTTTAGGATAAATAGTCGGTTATGTTTTTGGAAAGATATCAATCTTTTAAAAGCGTCCTTTTCTAAAAAAAGTACCACATCTAACTTAGTTTTAAAATTTATCTCATAATATGTTTTATTTACGTCAAATTATTTTCAATTCAAAATCAATTTTTTTCCCTAGACCAAATTAAGTTTTTTTATTTTTTTATTATGGGATCGTATTAAATTAATCATCAAACCCTTTCATCGGAAGACAAGCTAGTTCAAACATTAGATTCATTTTAAGTCTTAAGATAATCGATATGTTGGAAACGCCGTATTTACTAAAATTATTGATTTAAATTGATAAATAATGTCTATCCTATTGGATAGGAGATTCGTTAAATTTGCTTTAAGCTTTTTCCTTTTTTGTTCTTTTTCTTAATTAAACTAAATGTGTTTTATTTCGAGACAAGTGAGAAAAGCATCATGAAACTCATTTTTTTATATATATTTTTTATGGTATTGTATTAAATTAACATCAAGCCTCAAGATTTGAGAGTCTCGTCAATTTAGTAACAACACAACTAAGGACTTTAGATTTGTGATGAAGGAAAAAAATTCAACAATATTTGCTGTAATGATCATAAAATAAGATATAATACGAGTAACCATCAATTGAAGCTACGAGGAAGGTCCCCATACATCATAATAAATTAATTCTAAGGGGGCCTTAGCCTCGTAACTAGATTGATAAAATAGTAATTTATGTATTTTACTAATGGAGCATGCATGACATAATGAGGAATTTGGTTTAGGAAAAGATAAATTAGCAACCTTTAAGGCACATTGGACAATCTTGGAGAAGGCATGACTAAGACGAACATGCCGGGGCCCAAAAATAGTACTATGACCTTGAATAGAGCATAAACAACCCAAAGGTTAGGCCAAGGAGAAGGTGGAGAGACTGTTGTCAAGAATTCCTTAGTGGAGAATTTCTTGTGTAGCCAAATCCCTAACAAGAAATTTATTAGGGAAAAATTCAAGAGAACATGAATTATTTTATGTAAAAGTGCCGATAGATAATAAATTTTGACTATTATCGGGAACATTTAAAATGTTATTGAGACTGAAAGAACGATGAGGAAGATTAAGTGATGAAAAACCACTATGAGAAATGGGAATATGTTTACCATTAGTTAGTTGCACTCCTTCAGATACTCATTGTGAATGGCCAGGTTTTCCAATTGCACTGTCATGTGGTGAGTCGCACCAATATCCATAATCCATTAAGAAGAATTAGGAGAGGAGTTAGAGAAGGCGAGATGAGACGAGAGTTTATGGAGACGATTGCTTGGATGTGATTTTAAGATGGATAGATGTTGATAAGGTGACTAGTGCCATTACAATTGAAGCAGGTAACTAGACTAGATGCAGCCTGTACTGTAGTAGGAACGGAAGCCCCATGGCAAGAACTATATGATGGTGATCATCTAACACAATGACCACAGCCACAATAAGTTGCCTGTCGAGTGGCATAATAAGCAGAAATTGGAATTTTAGCAGGCTAAAGGCCATCTTGTAGGTAAAATTCTTCACTTAAGGCTAGACCATGCAAGGCCTTATAGAGATACCCTCATGTTTGGATTGAATGGAGTGAACAAAAGGCCGATAGGAGGCATTAAAACCTTGTAATAAGGCCTAAACTAAGTCATCTTCAGGTAACGGTGATCCAAGGGAGTGAAAGAGATCATAAATAGACTTTCCTTACTGAAAGTATAGAGGAATGGTTTCAGAAGGTCACTAGACAAAACGGTATAAGTTGCTTTTGAGATGATTGATCTGAGTGTGTGTTTCGAAACCAAAGGCATCAGTGAGTTTGAGCCAAGCTACCCTTGCTGTGTGTGCACCAACCATAAGAGGGAGGACTGCCTCCCTATAGGGATCCAACAATCCAGGAAAGGACCAATTGATCATGGCATTCCTAGGTAAATATAGGTTGGATTATTGTCAGTTCTAAAGATGTTAGCAGTAGGTGGAGATTGGATGCCATCAATGTGATGAAGGAGACCATGACAGTGTAAGAATGGTTGAAATTGGGTTTGCCAAAGGATAAAATTGGTGGGAGTAAGCTTAATCAAGTTGTGAGAGTTAAAGCTTGGAAAAGATGAATGCGTTAGTATTAATGGAGGGGCTGGTGGAACAAGAGCTATAGCGGATGGAGTAGGAGCAGTGTCTGATTGTGCAGTGGACATGGTGAAGTAAAGGAGTAGGTGTTGGCTTAAAGTAACAAGTAAAAGTTATGATAAGTAAAAACTAGGGCAGTAACGTGATTTGAGTTGATGGTATTTTAGGTAGTAGCGGGCTATGTTTTGGTGAGGAAAAAAGGAAGTCTTTGTGATAAGGATGGACTGTATAACAGGTCTAGATGAGAGCGGACTAAGTTGCTTGCGCATACTGGAGGCTGGTGTTTTGGTAATGGAAAAGACTGTAGCGGGCGTGAGGGAAAGTAACGTGATTTGGGCTGGTGGTATTTTGGGCAGTAACGGGCTGGTGTTTTGGTGAGGGAAAAAGAGGAAGTCTTTGTGACAAGGATGAACTATATAACGGGTCTGAATAAGAGAGGACTGAGTTGCTTGTGCGTACTGGTGGCTGGTGTTTTGTTGAGAGAAAAGACAGTAGTGAGTTGGTGTTTTTGTGAGGGAAAAGAAAAGAAAAAGTTGTTCTAATTATAAAAATGATAACAAGTTAGTGTGAATATGAACGGTTTTAAGCTTGTTATCACTTACTAGTTTTAATCGAATAATGAAAATAAAATCTCATAGAATGTTCATAACGATTTAAGTTGTAAAAATTTTGATAACACTAAATGTTAAATTTATAAATTCTTAAACTTTAAATCAAATAAATTTTTTTATTATATAATATAATAGAGATTCAGGATAGAGAATATAGTGTATTACCTTATATTTTTAGGTAAGAGAGAGGGTCGGAGCACTCTCGACTTTTTATTGAGCCTAGGCGTTACACGTTAACTTGGGACTAAGATGGCGAAAGTTATTCGCTTACAACCACAACTATTGTGCAAGAAGCGTGGTTAAAGTCACCTAGGTCAGAAAAAAGGTAGTAGATGTCCTTATCTTTTATTAGTTGACGAAAGACAGAACAACTTAAAGCTAGGTTGAAAAAATAAAAAAACTTCCAAATTGATCATAAAATTAAATATTAAGCTTTAACTCAAGAGATAGAAGATAAGCACAAATTAAAATAAAATTGATAGAAAACCATTACAAAGAGTTAATTTCTACTAGAAAGATCACATATACTTCGGTAGAATCCAAAAAAAATAAAAAATAAATAAACATAACAGAAATAAGACACGACTTAGATATGTTGTAAATTTTAGAGTGTCAAGCTCATATGGGCTTGAACAAAACTTTAATGGACATTAGTAACCATATAGAGTCTAGAATTAAAAAAAAAAGAAAAAAGAAAAAAAAAGAAAAGAAAAAGAGGAACTAGACCTAATTAGATGCTTTTATAAGAAAAATATTATTTTGGTTTTAAGAGATTTAAAAACAAATTTTTTTAGTGTTTGAGATATAATTTTTTTAGATCATTTTTCTAATAATTATCTTTTTATTTTCAGCTTAGCCCATAAATATTTTTAAATAAATTACAATTAAATTCTAGAATGTAAAATAAAATCTTTTTGGTATTTTTTATTTTCTCTTTTTTTTAATACTTATGGTAAATTAATAAAACAAGAGGGAAATTAACCCAAATTTCTTTATTCTCCTTTTTTCTTTTTTCTTCTTCTTTGATAAGATAGAGATATTAAACTAAAAATCTAAAAATTAAATGAAGCCAAAAATAACAGTAATAGAAATAATAATAAATAATTAAACAACATAAAAATAAATATTCATAAAAAATGAAATTATGAAATAATAATGCGAGTAAATTTATAGTTATGACTCTTAGAATTTCTAATCCAAGTATTATTTTTAGGTTTTTTAGTTTCTTTAATATTAAGTGGCGACTTTAAATTATGCTTTAACTTACATCCATAGTAAATAACAAAAAGCATAAAATAAAATAATAATTTTTTCATAATTTTTTTGAATTCTCCTAAATATAGGGTAGCGATAACGGGGATTGTTGGATTTACTCATTTTCAACATGTAGTCTCCTCGATAGCTGATCGTGACGTCGTGGAAGGGGTCAACATGTTATTCTTGTTCAGTATCGCTGTTCCATTGTTGTCCACTTGATTGGGGAATACCAAGAGAGGGACTGATTGAGAATTAATTCTGCTTCTCTATAGGTGGTGGCATGGACACACAAACTATTGTAACCCTAGGTTAAGGATGAAAATGCTAGAGAAAGAATCTTTCTATTCTTTTTTTTTTTTCAGAAGAAAACATTTCTAGTATGGAAGAGATTGAATCCAAATATCCAATAATTTCCCTTCATAAAAATGCAGGTTAGCTAATCAATCCACATAATTATTAGAGAGATAATAAATTTGGATTGCTGTTATGGACAGCAAAAAAAAAAAAAAAAAAAGAGTTCCGTTAGCTTGGGTCTAAGATGATGAAAGTTATCCTCCGACAACAGCAACTATTGCCAGAAAAGAGCGGTTAAAGTCAACTACGCCAGAAAAAAGGTAGTTGATGTCCTTATCTTTTTGTTAATTGACAAAGATAGAACAACTGGAAGGTAGATTGTTTTTTTTAAAAAAAAAATTGCAAACTGATCATAGAAATTAAGTATCATGCTTTAACTAAACAATTAGAGGATAAGCAAAAATTAAAAGTAAAATTGATAGAAAACCATTACAAAGATTTACTGTTACCTACTAGAAAGATCACACATACTTTGATACATAGAATCCAACATAAATAAATAAGAGAAAATATCGAAACAGAAATAAGACATGACTTAGATATGTTGTAAATTTTAGAGAGACAAGCTCATATGGGTTTGAACGGGACTTTATTGGATGTGAGTAATCATTGAGTCTAGATTTTTTTTGATAAGAAAAATATTATTTGGGTGTTGAGAGATTTAAAAACAAAGTTTTAGTTTCTTAGATATAAGATTTTTTTAAAAAAATATTTCTAATATCTTTTTTTTAAAAAAAAACTTGGACAAATGGGTAAAACCTTTGACTCTGTAATTCTCGTAACAGAAGTCAACCTTTTTGTTTATCGAGGTAACTTCCAAATTGACAAACTGAAAATTTTTTATACAAGCAGTGTTTCAATTTATGATACAAAGGCTTATATTGTTAAATTTTTTCTAGTTCTTTTTCTTTATGAAAGTCGAGAGTAGACTTTGATTAAACGGGAATACTTAGCAAGAAAGTGGCTATATGTTCGATTTATTTTTCTATAATACCGGAATTTGGATCAAACATCCAAATAAGTCCCCAAAATATCCTTCATCATCACTTTTTTGGTTAGTATACTTTTGGTTTTTGTAATTATGCTCCAGCATGCACTTTCATTATTTGTTTTTATTTTGATTTTATTTCTTTTATAGTCCCTTACTTTTTTATGTTTTTGTATCATCTTTCTTGCGATAGGTGTTAAATTTATTTGATTTGCAATTAACCATTTGGTTTTATTAATTATAAATAACTAAAAAAAATTGTGAATAAATCTTGGGCGTAATCATTGAGTTATTTGAACTAATCCCTATAATTTTTGACGTGGAAAGACAAACCTGGCCAATGTTGAACTATGGACTCAATTCTGTGATCTTGGACCGAAGAAGCCACACCACACGACAATGAAGAAAAAGACGTTACATGGTCTCTTCCTCTTGGGTACAAGCAAGGGAGAGCTTTTTTCTAGTCTTCCCTCGTTGAATTTTGCAGGTAACCTTAAAGTGAGAAGTTCAAAAAAAAAAAAAAAAAACATTGAAATTCCCCAAATCTTTTTCTTTCTTTCTTTCTTTTCTTTGCCTCTTTCTTTCGCTTACCCCCCCCCCCCCCCCCCAATTTTGTTTGCATTTACGGAAATTTCAGAGAGATTTAAAAAAAACAAAAACAAAAACAAAAACAAAAAATCCACTAAATAGTTAACCATTGAAAATTGGTGAAATCTTCTTTTCAAAAATAAACATGTAATTTTGGATATATATACACCACCACAACTATATTATCAACCTTAAAAACAATACATTTTTAAAAAATAATAAGAATAATAATAAATATACTCATTTATTTTTATATAATACTTAAAATCTCTCATATGTTTCTAGATTTTTAATTTAATTTAATTTATTTAACTTGTTTAAAATGTTCAATCTATTTTTTCTGATCAACGTTTCTAACCACGGACAAACTTTTTGACTAAATATCCTTACTAAAATACGGAAAAAAAAAAACTGAATAAAAATCAATAAAAATTTAAAGTCATATGACCTGTATTTTTTTATTTTTTTATTTTTTTCATTTTAATTTGGATCATTTTGGTTAAAAAAAAAATTATATGGTCGAAGAAATTATTGGAGAGAGAGGTTGACAATTTCAAATACCTAGAAAAACATATGAAATACAATTAAAAATCTAAAGACATATGAAATACTTTGAGTATTATACAAGAATATATCAACATATTATTCTTAAAAAAAAAGCAGCTTTTATTCCAGCTTTTATTCCATTTACATAATTTAGCATGATACATAATTAACGATGAGACAATGGGACCGTAGCCCTATTTGCTCACCGGAAAGTATCACACTTTGTTATCAGACAACAATAATTTGTTGCCTTTATTGGAGCTGCTTGTTACAGAAGTAGATATGCTCAGAGCATAGAAAGCCGGCAGCGGCGGCGGCGGTGATGGTGGTGGTGGTGGTGGTGGTAGTGGTACTGGTTCTGTATACCACTTCTGGCTAGGCGTTCCAAAGTTGAAATTAAGCGTGAATATCTGACTTACATCGTCTCTTACAAAACTCACATCCATAACCAAGCCACTGGCCACATTCACAATGGCTTTATCGGTGTGTCGATAGTGCCAAACTTTGCGCTCAGGGAGAACAGTGATACATGGGTCAATGAAAATAATTCCTCCTACTTGGGGTTCAGCAATCAGGCACTTGCTTGGTTGCGTTGCAGGCCGTATAGTATAATCGTCAAAGAATAGCCATCTTTGCTCTAATACGCTTTCGTTGCATGTCACTAAATTTAGGTCGGATATGTGTGCTTCCAAGCAGAGATCATCTAGCCAAAAAATGACCAATGGAATTTCTGATACGTTTTGTTGAGTAAAGTTAACCTTCCAATCTTCATCGGTGTTATTCTGTTCGATTATTGGCTTAGGCTCTGGATGTGGATAAATATCATGAGCGTTTGCCATGAGATGGTGATGAAGTGCCACCCATAATAGTACAGCCATCAATTGCAAAATCCAAACCTTCATGATTAATTCCTTTTGTTCGCGAAAGGGTGTGGAGAAATTTCCACTTTCACCTGTTAAAATATGTGAAGAGGATCAAGATTTAATTTATCAGTTAACCACACTAGCAAATATTTGCAGCTCAAATGAACAAGAACTGATATAGTGCAAGTCAAATTACATACAAAGTCAACACATTCAATCATTTTAAAGAGTTCATGGGTCCTAAAAAATTAATTTATCAGTGTCGAAAAAATATCTCTATCTAAGCTATTAAATAAGATTAAAAAATAATTTTGTATAAAAAAATATCAAACAAGGTTAGATTTTACAGGGATAAAATTCAACCTGCTTTAACCTTGTGCCAAAAACTCCTGCGTGAAAATTTTTAAATTTGAAAGTTAATGACTGAAAACCACCATTACCTTGTAATGATTTCATATTTTTTTAAGTACAAGATAACAGAATTGTTGGATTTGTCTTAAATCGTGAGCCCAAGTAAGAAAACAAATAAACCCAAATGCAATAAATGTTAGCTGGAAGAACGCAAAAGCCAACTGTGTGCGTGTGTGAAGGCCTTGAATTAATTATTGAAACATCAATGGAAATAAAAGATGCCAAATAAGGGGAACACACTAGCAATGATTAAGACATCAACCTGTGAGAAAGCTTATAATTTTGCGGATGAGGAAGAGAGCAAAGAGTGTTGGTGATTTTTAGTGTTGCATCTACTCTCTATTTATAATGGCTCATTGCATCCATGTGTATCTCGTGGTAAACTTTTCTCAAGGCATAGTACATTTATTAAACAATAGATAAATAATATAGATAATTGATAATGGTTATTCATCACCAAACCTTTTTTTTTATATATATAACTCAAAAAAAAAAAAAAAAAAACACTAATCTCCGGATGAGCTAGAGACGAGATAGCAATAGTGGTTTTGACAAGCCAGTGAAGTATCCCGGTTGCAACTCAATCTTTTTTAATGCACATAAGACAAAATCTGCACTCACACGAAAGAACTCCTGGTTTTTTTTTTTTTAATTATTATTATTATTGTCTCTCTTACCTCTGTTACTTAGGTAGCAACGTATACTTATATATGTTTCAAGCCGATCTAGTTAGATCTTGCACTCAGATTAGGTTACTGACTCAACTTAGAATGCCAATTCTAATTCTAGCCAAACTTGGTTTAATTACCAACACCCTTTCTTAAACCAAGTTCTTCAAATTTCTTCATGTCCATCATCTTTTTAAACTTCCAGAACAAATCAGCTTTAAGTGGCTTTGTGAAGATATCATCAACTTGATTCTTGGATGAAAAAAACTCAACCATAATTTCTTGATTATTCACTAAACATGAATATAATAGTAGTTAATGTCAATATGTTTGATGCAATCATGAAATACTGACTTTTTTGTTAATGCTATGTATAGCAGATTTGTTGTCACAAAAAATCTTTATTGACTTATTTTAACAATGTTGCAACTCACCAAGCATTCTTCTCAACTACACAGCTTGAGTAACGCAACTTTCAGCTACAATATATTATGCTTCGGTAGCCTGGGCAGTAAAAAATGCAACTACTTGTTGTTTCTTTGATGATCAAAAGAACACGCTAGAACCAAGATGGAAAACACAGAAAAGATCCTTGTTGCATTGCAGTGAAACATGGAAATTGTGGTCTCGAGTCATTAGATTGGGGGTTGTGTTGAGTGATTTCAAGTACTGTGGATGAAATGTTTCTGAATTGAACTTTTTTAAGTAATGGTGGCTAGCAAAAGAAAATTTGATACTTATTTTTGTACGCTGTGTTATGGTCAATTTGGTTAGCTCAAGATGATTTTGTATTCAATGTTCCCATTCAAAATTAGGACAACAGCTTCCTTTATTTCACTACCAAAAAAACCAAATTTAGCAATGGTTTAAACCGTTATTAAAAAATTAAAAATTATTGCTAATCATAATTAGTGATGAGTTTGCGATAGTTTTAATCCGTCTAAAAAAGTCTTCTCGCTAAATATTCTGCAACCGTTTATTTTAAACGTTGCGAATTTAGATACAATTAATTTATCGCTAAACGCTCATAAAATTGTCGCGTAATAATGTTTAAATGGTCGCAGATTTAGCGATTGTTTAACAACACCGTCGCTAAATCTGTCACTATTTAGCAACGGTTTGACGATGGTTTTTATAAATCATCACTAAATATGACCAAATTTTGAATAATAATTAGCGATGGTTTTTAAACTGTCGCTAAGTTTTTTATTTTTTATTTTAATTTTTTATATATTTTCGGTTAATTATTTCATCGTTTATATGTCGCTAATAAAAAACATAAAATCCAATCCAATTTTACCAACTATAATAACGAAATGAAACAGATTTATAAATGTTATGAAATCTTTATAATGTATAAAATTTAATTAAATCAAATATATATTCAAACATCAAATTATATTAAAGTTTATTAACAATTCGAAAAAAAAAAAAACTAAAAGCGATAAAAAAAATTATGATGAAGGGGATGTATGTCATGACATATCATCAATTTCATCGAACGCATGATGGCCAGTCAAAGGATTGATGGAGGAATTATCTCTTTGCATATTCGGTAATATTTGCGGCATCATAGCATGCTATTTCTCGGTATACTTGCTCCAATCGCCTTTGACTTTTTAGGAGCGATGTAACAATACCCTCTAGTTTTTGGATCTTTTCTTCTTGTCTAGAAATATTGGCCTCCATTTCCTTTCGATGCATAGTGAGAGGCCTATGACCCGAGTTTGTACATTCTCTTCATCTTACTTGTTTTCTCCTACAATGACCCTTTTAAAAATCTCATTCATGTTGATGTCGGGGGATGAGTACCCTTCATCTCTTGACTAGCAATCTCCTCCTCAAATATTTTCTCGATGCTCTCCTGCATAATTGCATAAATTTTGATATTAAATAGTTATCTCAATAAGTTATATAAAAGTGGCATTCGAATGAAATAAACTTATAGTTTACTTACCCTAATATTTCTTTCTCATTGATCGATTAATACATAGTTATCATTAACTTTCTTCCTGTGAGTTTTCAAAAAAACCTCTTGAGTATCGAGTTCATAATCCAACTTCTTACGCTGAAACAAATATACTTAAATATTTATTGATATTGGATTAATTTCAAATAATATATATATAGTTAGGAGATTTTTGAAACAAAATTTCGAAAGGAGTTTTTCCTTTCAAGAGTGGTGTAGGAGTTCTATTGATTATGTAGGTAAAGGTCGAATACAATCACCCCGAATTGGATTGGAACATGAGATTGAAACATAAGGACTCTTGCAATGTCTAGGATATGCCTATGTTTTCTTTCTACAACTCCATTTTATTGTGGAGTGTATGTAATAGTGGTTTCATGGATAACACTATTAGAAGCAAAGAAATCCTAACAAGCATTCGAAGAAATTCAAAACCTCTATATGATTTGATCCTATGAATGGAGGTAAGAAACCATGAGTTTATAAGCATAAAGAAATGTTGCGAGTAATTTAAGAACTTAGGATATATGGTGTAGAAGGAAAGTCCAAGTTCTCCTATAGCAATCATCAACAATGGATAGAAAAAATCTTTCTTGATCGTAAGTTGAATGCTTATAGGGACCCCATATGTCCACATGCACAAGTTCAAATGGAAACTGTGTAAGAGAGGTACTATGAGGAAATGGTAACCTAGCATGTTTGGCAAGTGGAGATATATCACAAAAGAATTCATGTAAATAAGGTACCGATATTCTAAGAACCAATTTGAGACGAGAAATAGATATATGGCCAAATCTCTTGTGTCATAGGGTTATATTGGAAGGGTAATTTGTTTTACAAGTAGTAGCTTTACACAAGATAAAGAATCATTCAAAATTTGATTACTAAGAATAGAATTCAAAGTACAATTTGGTTTAGAATAACTAGAAAGAAACTTGTTATTCAAGGCATTTGTGGAGGCGAGAAGATGAAAAATCTGCTTGGCAAGATATAGTAAAGGCCATTGCTAATTTTACCAAACCCCTTTGTCCTTCCAGTCCATAGGTCCTAAAACGGACAAAGGTCGGGGTAAAAGCATGCCAAACAATTGTTGTCGGCAATGAATTGAGCCACCGACAACAAATTAAACTTGAATTCGACGGATATAAAACATTTTGAAGAACAAAATTACGAAACTTGACGAGAACCTATATGGGTAACAAGGGTCATAGTGTCATTAGGTAATCAAGTTTTATAAGATTATGCAAGTAATCAAGTTTACTAGTTATATGTATATTAGCCCTTGTGTCAATTACCACACATCTTCATTTTCACAATCCACATTGAGTAAGCTACGTAAACATGTACCGCCTTATTAGCGGTAAGTGTTGTTGATTTAACATGCTTATTTGAGTCTCTTGACGAGTAAGTTAAGTATCTACCGATACCGATGAGGTGAGAAAACTAGAGGATGTCCCATAGCTACAAGTTTGCTCATGTAAGACTATCTCCCACGAGTGCATTGACATTCTCCGGATAGCTCACATTACGAGCATTGAAATTTCTCTCGTCAACCAACGAACCACCCCTACGTACTCTATTATTCCTAAAAGATCTTCGAGGAGGATAAGGATATCCATATAGCTTATAACAACTCTCTTTTAGATGACCGGATGCATGGGAATAATCACATACAATTTTTCTTCTACTCGTGACTCGTTAGCTTTATCAATAAACTCGCTTCACTCGATATTAATTTCTAGAGGTGAAAAAGTAGTGGTAACACTTGAGTCGGTATTGATGCCTCTCTCGTGATTCTTCATTAAATGCCATGGAATATGCTTATGAATGTGTAGGCATTGGTTGCATTACCGGACCATACTTGTTTAGAAGTTATCATTCAAGCCCATCAAGAACTACATCACCTTATGTTGTTGTGTATATGCAACAAAGGGCTAAGAAACTTCATTATGGCGAGTGTGGATAAAAACAGGTTGGTGGAGGAATTAAAGGATCCAATTGGTCTTAAAATTGCCTTAATTTTGAATAATATGTTGCCACAAAATCTAAGCCTTGAATAAAGGAATTAATTTCTTTATGCAGAGAGAAAATCTTTGCTCTAGGTCGTTTATCAAACCTCTCCTTACGATCCTTCCAAACATCTACAGCATCTTGATAATATACCAAACTCGTTGAATAGTGGAGCCAATATAGAATTGAGTAGCCAAGCATGAACCAATGCATTGCATTTCTTCCACTATGCAAACTCGGGAGATTCAAAGTTCAATCTTGAGCATCTACCATTGATAAAACCATCTTTGCTTTTTGCTTATAAAGAAATCACCATAGCCTTACTCTATGAACTATAATCATCTTCTCCTTGAAGTAAATGATTGACAAGAATCAAGTTAGGTGTATCTAAAGGATGTAAGAAAAGAGGATCATTAAAATCCCTAAGAGAAGTGGGAGAACGAGTGATATTAGGGTTTTAAATTTGATTTTCCATGATTTGGAGAAATTTTCTCGGGAAAAAAATTATGTCAATTTTCTTGAGAAAAAAATGAATTAAACTTCTAAGAATGAAGAAGTAATACCAAGATTTGAAGAAAAGGATCAATCAACTAAAGATTAGAAACAAAGAAACTAAAGCTGAAATGGTGATTTTTCTGGGATCCAAACACTCTGATAACATGTTGAATTTCGAAAGAGCGGGAAACAGAGAGGAAAAATGAAATAAGCTTTTTGTGTTGTGTATTACCCCTTTGACCTTCTGTTTGGTATATATATATATATATATATATAAGAGTAGCAGCAGGTAAGTCAGTTACTATAACTAACTTACATAACTAATTAAGTAGCTAGTTATATTCTCAATATTTCAAACCATAAAAGACCATGTTCAGTTTGTAGAATTTATTCTCTTCCTTTCTCTTCACAAAACTAAGGGGCTGTTCCCCACACACCTCTTTGTCAAGTACACCATTCAAGAAAAATAGATTTTACATTCATTTGATAAATACTCCAATGATTTTATGCAGAGAGAAAAATGATCATACAACTAATTTCAAGTCTAGTAACAGGAGCAAAAACTTCAAAATAATACATACCTAGTTTTTGTTTGTAATAATTTTCCGCCGATCGTTCTTTAAAGTGATCCACATCTCCATTAGAGTGGCACTTTATCTTGAACACCCATTTGAATCACGTTGGCTTCCTATTTTGAACACCCATTTGAAGCATGTTGGCTTCCTATTTTGGGATAAAGTTGTAAGGTCTAAAGTTTTGTTTTTCTTAATGGCCTAAATTTCTTCATTTATTACATCAACCCAACAATAATTAATAACAATTACTTGGTATGGCATAGAATCAATAAACAAATAAAAAAAATTACCTTGCATCTTCATCATCACTAATATCATTGTCATTCTCAATAACATTATCTGGCTAGTGTGCTGGAAGCAATGTTAGCATTGCGGACCATAAAAAAAACTTTACATGAACAAGTTTTGAAGAACGTGGAGTTTGATTTTCATCATTGCAAACTTTAACTGATAGCAACAAAGATTTTTGGCACATCATTGCAAACTTTAACTGGTAACAGCAAATATTTTGTTTCTTTAACTAACCAATCTGAGACACTATTTTCATCAAAAGTAACATCTCCACTTATGATCACCGTTTTATTTTTTGGATCGAACAACTTATAACCCTTTGTCTTATCACTATAACTAACGAAAATACACATTTCAAATTTGTCATTCAATTTTTTTCATTACCTCATTAGGAAAATGGGAATAAGCAATAAAACCAAACACCTTGAGATGGCTAATATTTAGTTTTTGCTGACTCCAAGCCTCTTGACAAGTTTGTTTGTTTGTTTTTTTGTTTTTTTTTTTTTTTTAACAAACACTTGTTGTTGGGCATCTATTCAAAACGTAAATAGCACAAGCAACCACTTCTGCCCAAAAAAATTAGACAATATTTTATTATGCAACATACATCTAACAATGTCAATTATAGTTCTGTTTTTCTCCCTGCGACTCCGTTTGTTGAAGAGGGTATCTAGCAGTCAATTAATGTCTCATGTCATATTTTTTTTAGGAAATAATCAACAATAATATCCTTTATGGCTGTATCCATTCTCAAAGTATGGAGCTCCCACTGTACTTTTTAATGTAAGCTAAAAAATTCATTAATTAAAGTAATGAAGTACCTATTATCTCTATTTGAAGGAACCTCAACTGAATGCCAATTTTACGTTCTCTAAATGCCGGAATTTTTGTTTTATCCCCAAGCGTCACAGGTGTATGAAAAGATTCATCCATGTTACCACTCGTATGATTGATGCAAGAACCCCCAATTTTTCTCATCCTTTTCTGTCTTACGCTCGCCAATATTAATGTTTTAAAAGCATCATTATTGATCTCTATAAATTTTTTATGTGTTTTTCTATTGTTTGAGTTTTTAAGTAAGCACTTATATTGATAATGACCAAACCTTTTGCAATGATGACATCGAACGTGAGACTTCCAATCTTTCTTATAGTATCCATACCTTTGACATTTATGGCATTATATCCTTGTAGCTTATCAAATTTGTTATTCCTTTCACCTTTACCTTTGCTACTTTGACCATATTGATTGTGTTCAATTTTGTTTAATGATTCCTTCGTGGTTTTCATATTCAACTGAGATTGCAATGTTTCATCAATGGTTATGACATATTTCTTCTAATTCAACCCATGTGCATGAGCTACTAATGAACCTTCTAATTCGTCAATTAGCAGCTCACTCAAATTTATTGGTTCTTCAATAGCTGTCATAGCGTACTCAAAGCAAACTATCAAGATTCGAAGAATTTCTCCATAATTAGGAGATCTATCATATTTTTTGTATTAGTGTTCATCTAAATAATCAATTTTAGTGCGCATGAAAAATACTCGTCAACAATCCCATTGTCTTGCATTCGTAGAAGTTCAAAATTTGTACGTGAAGTCTGCAAATTCAACTTCTTTGCCTTTTCTACACCTTTGTAAAAATTGTATTAAAACCCGTCCTTCTAATTAAATGGCTCGGATGCCAGAACCAAAAACTCACTATCAAACTTTATTGAAAATTGATCCAAGCTGTAACTAAGCCTTTTTTAAAACATAAAGGACAAAGACGTGCACTCACACACAAAACTCACTTTTTTTACTTTTCCGTGACGCTACTAGCTTCTGGCAATTTTTTCTTCCATTGCTGAAATTGGAGGGGACCAGGCAGTTAAATCAGAACAGGTGAGCTGTTGCTCATAATAATTAGTTTATATATATATATGGTTCAAGCAGCAAATTAAAATAAATAAATAAAGCAGTTAAACCTTACAGTTGGATTGATTTGTGTAAGAATGACAAATTTATGATTCCGTAAAGATGCCATGAAATAACATCCAACCCACAAAATTTAATTTATTTTATTAAACCGAACGCCATGAGATGGCTAATATTTAGTTTTTGCTGGCTCCAAGTGTAATACCCGTGATCAAAAAGCTCTTGAATAATTATATATGTATAGAAGGAGAAATAATTTAAAATTTATTGGGTAAGCATGGATGATTAATTGTTGAGATAATGAATTTTTGATATTTAATTGAATTATTTTTAGGGAGAAAATTACGAAAGTTAAAGGTTTAGCTATTTAATTTAAATAATTATGGGAGTCAAGAGATCAATATTAATTTAGAAATTATGTTAAAGGAGGACTGAAATGTCACAATTAAAGGAGAGAAACCAAAATTGTAGGAGTGTGATTAAATAGAATTATAAAGGTCAAGGACTAAAGTGGTAAATTGCAGAAAAATAGAGGGCCATTTGAACCAGCCACTGGGCTGGAATTTGCCTAGAAATTTAAATTTAGAAACTAAATTTCTAGGACAAAATCATTGGCCAAGCACAAGAGAAAGAGGAAATAAACACAAGGAAAGGAAGAATGAAGTTTCGAGGAAGGATCTAAAGAGTTTCAATTTAGCTAAGGAGTTGAAATTCAAATCCTTCCCTCTTAATATATATTCAGCTAGCTACAAAAGACAAGAGAATGATGAATAATCAATATTAGGAAGAAACCAAGGTGAGAGTTAAAGGGAAATAGAAGAAATTAAGTTAACCCTAACCAAATTCTACCTAAAATCAACACTAATCCACCCATAAAACTATATTAGAAAACTAAAGGAAGCAAGCACAAGGATAGGGACGAAAAGGGGGCCTTGGCCGAAATCAAGAGGAAGACGAAGGAGGGAAGATCAAGTGAAATTAAGCATTGAACATACTTATCTAAATGTAACTTTAACTCATTGTAAGACTTAGGATGATTATGTATTGAATTGGTGCAATTATGTGCTTAGAACCCTAGGATTTCAAATTATGCAATCAAATAATTTATGTTCAATTGATGCCTAAATTGTGAAATTGATGAATGATTGACTATTGTAATATTATAGCAAGAGTTTAATTGATAATTGACCATTGTATTGATGATAGATAAGTGATTAATTGTTGTTGTTATGAATTGGGAATTTAGGGTTCATGTTTAAATCATGTGATAGCTGTAATTTAAAAAAATGAATGGGCTTTGGTGTAATTGGTGAGTTGATAATTATGATTGGATGATTGAATAGGAGAAGGAAAAACTTACGAAATGGGTTCATTGGGATGAACCATTCAGCCATGACTAGGAAGAATTGAAAAAAAAATATTTTGTACAAAATTGATCCATCCTAGGTGTTTGATAAAATGTGTAAACCATGTTTGAGACTTAAAATCAAAGAGAAAATTGATAAAATAGAAAGACTAGATAGGTTTGATAGATTCGATCAACATGAGAACTATAGTGAAATGTGTATATTTATATATTATTGAATTAAATAGTAATGTTTTAAGGTTTAATGAGAAGGAATCACTTGGTTGTTTGGTAAGAGAGTCATTTGGTCAAGTCTCCAATTTGAGAGATTATCGAATTAAATTGTTAAGCAATAAAATTTAGTGCTTTAACCTTCGTTAGTTGTAGTTAGGTGTAATGAAATGAAAAATCGAATGAATTGATTAGGGAGTAGATTAGGCTTGAAAATAATAAGGTAAATGGTATGAATTGAATGATTAAGGAAATCTCTCTTGGTTAAATGGATGAAACATTCGGCCAAAAGAGGAACATTTGGATTGTTTACCTAATGTTTTATGTTGTGTTAGATTGTAATGAATCTGCATGTTTAAGGACGAATGGATGCAAACAAAAGGATTTAAATTCAACTCCGTAGCTAAATTAAAATCCTCTAGATCCTTCCTTGAACCTTCCTTCTTCCTTCCTTTCTGTTTCTTCCCTCTTTCTCTTGTGTTAGGCCGACTGATTCTGCCCTTAAAATTCAATTCCTAAACTGAGATTTTTGGGAAAATTCCAGTCGCATGGCTATTTCAAATGCCCCTCTATTTTACCTTATTTTACCACTTTAATCATTGACCTTTATAATTCAATTCAATCATAATCCTACAATTTCAGTTCTCCTTCTTTAATTGTGACATTTCAGTCCTCCTTTAAAACTATTTCCAAATTAAGTTGAGTCCCCTGACTCCCTCCTTTATTTAATTTAAATTGACCAAGCTTTTACTCTTTATAATTACCTTCTTAAAATAATCTAATTAAACACCCAAAACTTATTATCCAAAAATTAATTATTCATTCTCACCAATTAATTTCATAATTATTTTCTCCTTATTTTCTAATATTTATGTGTGCATAAATAATATTTTATGCTCACAATAATATTAATTCAAACATTTAACTTAACTAATTACTCCATAATTAAATCTTTAGACATTAATAAAAATATTACTTCTTTCATACATACCTATATAATTATTTAGGAGGTTTCAATTAAGGATATTATAGAAGCTCCCATTTTACTTTTTAACATAAGCTAAAAAATTCTTTAATACACCACATGCTTTTGATTTTTGTTTCAATAAATAAACTCAAGTCTTTCAACTAAAGTAATTAACAAAATCGTTAATAAAAGTAATGAAGTACCTACTATCTCTATTTGAAAGAATCTCAACTGAAAATAAATCGTAGTGTACTAGGTCAATGACATCTTAGCTCTCTTTGTCTTTCCTTTCGAAAAAGAATCTCGGTGTTTCTTGTCCAAAATACATGATTCACAAAAATTTTATAAGAGAATCAATTTGTAGCACCCATAAATCATTTTTCACTAGTTAGAAATTTCAGACTTCCAAAGTTTAAAAGTCCAAAATGCATAAGCCATAGCCAACTATTATAAAGAATCATAAAACTAAAACAAGACAACTCATTATAATTAAACCGTAATGGATACAAACGATTATTAGAATGCTTACCTTTGCTATTAGCGTTTTTTATTCATCAAAGATTGTTCAAGTCTTGAGTTCACTCTCTTTTAATTAACTCTTCCTGGGTTTGGCATCCTTGTCGTTTTTTGGTTTCTAAAATTTTAAAACAATTTTTAGAAAACGGAAAACGAAAAAAAAAAAAAAAAAAAGAAAAGAAGGAAATATAAAATTTGAAAATAAGTTTTATGAAACAAAAAACGAATAACGAATGCGGCTCGAATTTCTTAAATTTCTGCTGCTGCTCCTCGAAGTCCCATACAAGAGACAGAATCCAACAGATTAAATGATTAGCGGGTCTTAATGTAGCTGCCGTTTTCGCAAAATTTCAAAAAGAGAAAAGGTCTTCAACGACATATACCATGATAAAAGATTTCATTCAAATAATTGAAACCATATATTTCAAACATTCCTGCCAAAACAAATTGCATATGTAATCACATACCTTTACTTCTTTTTTTTTTTTTTCTTAATTTTATATTAATAAATATTTTTTAATCAATTTATGCGTAAATTGAAATTATTATTTAAAAAAAAAAAAACTAACAACACATTTCTAACATCCATCATATGAATTCTAAAAAAAAAATAGTAAATTTTTATGGATGTTGATCTCAAAATTAAAACTTAAAAAATAAAAAAATAAGAGCAATCTTTATTAACTATCAAACCAATCATTTAATGTCCGGTAATTTTTTTTTCCATTATTAAAATCGGAGGGGACCAGCCAGTTAAATCTAAACAGGTGAGCTAATGCTTATATTAATAAGTTTGTGTCTTAAAAAAGAAAAATAGTTTATGTAGAAAATTAAAATAATTAAATAAAAGAATTTTATTTATTAAATAGAAAGTAATTTTTAATTTTGAGTAAGTTATATCACGTATAAGAAGGTCCAACTATAATATACATTGATAATAAATCCGTTATATTACTTGCGAAAAATCTAATCTCACGTAACCAAAGCAAACATATAGACAAGAAATATCATTTTATTCAAAAAGCAAATGAAAACAAAATTGTAGAGCTAGTTCATCATAGAATAGAAAATCAACTTACAAATATTTTTACAAAGCCTTTGAAGACCAATGCATTCCACAAACTTAAAAAAAAGCTTGGCATTCGAAGTTGAGTTTAAGAGGGAGTTTTAGAATTCAAACTCTTCATAATAAAGTGATAAATATTTTTCTCTTTAGAAAATTCTTCTCTAGAATATTCTCAAGCCATCAAGAATTCTTAGCTTTTAAGAATTCTCAGTCATTAAGTATTTGACTAAGTAACATTTAAAGGAGGTGATCAAATTTTATGATTTCTAATTAATTCTAGATATTTCAAATAAGGAGGTTAAGTTTGTTTATAAATATTATCCTTATATATGTAATGTATGGATGAAAATTAGAGAAAACATGAGAAAGCAAAAGTGTAGTAGAAATATACTAGCAACAATTAGAAAGAAAGAAAAAAATAGAGATTAATTTATTAAGAGCAGATATTTTGTGTGTGAGATTTATTTTATAATCAATACATTATTAAATATATTGTTATTTGAGTGTTATTTGTGTATCTATTATGCTTCCAATAAATGATATCAAGAGGTTGATCTATTAGAAGAAGATATTTTATATGTGAGGTTTATTTTATAATAAATATATTATTAATATAATATTGTTTGAGTGTTATTTACGACTCTATTACGCTTCCAACAAAAAATCACGATCAAACTTTATTGAAAATTTGATCCAGGCGGTCACTAGCCTTTTTTTAAAAAAAAAAAAACACAAAGGACAAAGACCTGCACTCGCACACAAAACTCACTTTTTTCTTTTTCCGTGACACTTCAAGCTTCTGGCAATTTTTCCTTCCATTATTAAAATCGGAAGGGGCTAGCCAGTTAAATCTGAACAGTTGAGCTGAAGCTTATATCAATCAGTTTGGTTCTTAAAAAAGAAAAACAGTTTATGCAGCAAATTAAAATAATTAAATAAAACACATTTATTTATTAAATAGAAAGTAAATTTTTAATTTTTAACATGTTTGATACACAAGTAAATGGTAAATATCTTACATTAAAAATGAATGGAACGATCAAAACGCACCAAACACTGGTGCTTCTGAGAAAATTATGAACAAAATGTAGTCAGAAGGTTCATGTGTATCTATGTTACCCAAAAAACAAATGTGAAGATTGCAAGTAGTACTGGATATTCATCGGAGAAAGAACTGGGTATAAATTTAGTTCAAGTCCACTACTTATTGTTGGTTTTGATGATATCTTGGAACCCTAACTGAATTAAAGAGTTGACTTTTTTGGGAATGGAGTTGATAAAGCAAAGAAATCGATTCAGTAAAAATAATGATCCCAGTAGTCTCTGAACAGCAACACCAGTCACAACCTGAACCTGTCTAGCTAGTGTCTATGCAACAGCAGGGAAGTAGAGATGGCAAACCCTTGCAAGTTGCAGATTCTGTCCTTTTTACGATGTCAAACAGCTCCAGCTTTTCGGAGTTCCAGCATCGAAACCTGTTATTTTTCATGAATCACATGGCCTAACCCATGTGGACGTGGAAGAAAGAGAAAATACAATTATTGTACCAGCATTCATTATCATGGGAATGCTAAGACCTCACGGTCTTGTCTTAGCTAAGAAATTCGATAAGCCTAAGACATTTGCTCGGTGGATAAGCTATTTTATTTTTATTTTTATTCTTCTTCAAATAAATAAATCATCGTGGTTTAAATAAATAGAGTTAATCATAATTTTGGTGTACTAAATTATTGAGTTTTTAAAAACTGTTAATTGAATCAGTCCCAATTTGTTATTTAAACATTATTTAGAAATATTTTTAATTTGATATCTAGGAATAAGTTATTCTCTAATATTTTAGGAGATCTCTAACTTTTAGAAAATGAGACATAATTTGGTACTTAGTAATAAGTTATTCTCCAAGATTTTAAAAGATTCCTATATTTTAAGAATTGAAACATAATTAGACTACTAGGATTTTGTATTGTGTCAGCATACAAAGTGGTTTTAGTATGAATCTCAATAGCTTTTATTGAAATTTTCAATAAAAGTATTTTTACCTTAATTCACTTAAAAACTTATATAACTTATCAAGTTTTGATTGACAAAACTTGTGGCATTCCAAAGGTTTATTACCCCTTTCTTATTTGTCTTGAGTGTGAGGCCTATTCCTTCTTTAACCTTATGGTTCAAATCTTATATATTTAGACTTGGGGTCCAAGTTATTAATAATTTACAATATGATCTTAGTTTTTTAGGAAATGATCTATCTTGTCCGTGAGTTCTTAAATACTTGATTTATGTATAGGGTTCACATCAAAATTGCAAAATCATAAAGGTCTAATTGAAACAATTAAAAGTTTAGATCCTTAATAAAATAGTTAGTTTTTGGTGACTCCTACTCGTAATACCCTTAACCAAAAACCTTCTAAATAATTATATATGTATGTATGGAAGGAGGAAATAATTTAGAATTTATTTAGTAAGCATGGATGATTAATTGTTGAAATAATAAATTTATTTTAATGTATAAAATTAAGATATTAAATTAATATTTATGTCGTCATGAAAAATAAATAAAAACTAAAAGAATAAAAATTATGCAAACATAAATATTAGGCAACGCAAATTGGTTGTTAATGTAAGAAATATTCTATAATATGACCCATATGTCATGTTTGTTTTAAATCTATAAATAACTATTTAAAGACTTAGAGCCCAATGGACTTTAGTAGTGGGCTAGGCACATCCATGATGGATAGAAGTGCAAAATTAAGTTAAAGAAAAAGTCTCCGGTCTAGCCATATAAATAGTAAGTAAAGCCTCGTGTTTTCCATTAACACACAAAACCCTAAAGTATTGGCATAGACTAGAAGGCTCTCTCTCCCCTTGACGGCTCTAGTTTTCTTTCAGCAATATCTTGAGCACTTAATCAATCATGGCAGGAGGTATGTATCCGATTAATTTCCACTCGCGCTTATATGCATAGGCATATTTAATTTAACATATGGTATCAAAGCCTCCTTCTCGTTATATTGATTAGTGTTAATAGAAATCATCAATTGTATTTAATGAATACATATTATGATTCTTTAATAGATGTGATATTAAATATGTAATATGGGTATTTTAAATTATATTATTTTTCTTGTCACTAAGGAGGTGGGATTTTCAAAAAAAAAAAAAACATATATCACGGTAGAAATCGTTGAAACAAATATGCATAATTAATCCGTGATATTTTTTATTTCTTTCTGGAACTTGGAGGAGAGGTGCTGATAATTGATGGTGTAACAGCACACCATGTGCTTAGCTAGCGTACAAAAGTTAGTCACGCCAAATATCATCTCATATGTATAAGTATATATCATTCGGCATTGTTTCTTTTTGTTGGATTAAAATAATGATAACAAACTAATATAGCATATACATGCATGCATAAGGAATGGCCGCCTAAGTCATGTCTAGTTATATATATATATTATATCACGTCTTCTGTACTTTAACAGTACACTTGCTTCCATTTGATTTCATACGCTTAGTTTACGCTATTTCCTGTCTGGTGCGACTTCGTGAACAACATAACTATGGTGGTGCATGCTTATATATATATATATATATGAAAGACATAAATTAAAGATTGCCAGGAAGTTTTCTTGTAAACAATTTTTACTTTATATTATTATTATTATTTTGATATGTCAACATAAAGTTATAAGTTGATATTAAAGTATGCTATGTTGAGATGGTGATGTCAATTAACTTAGGAATAGCCACATCATCTTTAAGTTATTTGGATGATCACATTAAAGTTTATTAAATTAATATGCTCATAAAGTACATAGCTTAATTTATAATTATTTTATAAAAATAATGACTTGACCTTACAGGGAGGTTGTTATTTTTATGATTTAATTAGAATAAGATAATAAATTGATATTAAGAATGGATTTTATTCTAAGGCCTCGTGTATGAATATTTTTTTTATTCTTGATATTTTATTTATTAGTCTTATTATTAAAGAATTAGTGAATTCTATGCATGATGCAACCTCTACCCACAGGAAAGTTAGAATTTACTATTAAATTGACATTGGTTAATTTAAATAAAGTATGTTTTTTCATAGTATTAAACTCTTTTCTTGGTTATTGCAACTTTTTCTATCGCTTTTATTGATACATCTAGTATTCCAATGCTATGTGGTGATAATTTTGGTGATTGGAAAGAAAATATTCTCTTTGCATTGGGGTGTGTGGATTTGGATTTGGATTTGCCCTACGTGTGGATGAACCACCCATCCTCACGGATTCAAGTGATGCACAGGAAAAGACTAATTATGAGCGGTGGGAGCGATCTAATCGCTTAAGTTTAATGCTCATAAAGTCTCGCATAAATAAGAGTATAAGGGGTTCAATCCCTAAATGCTCTAAGGCAAAAGATTTCCTGAAAGCCATAGAAGAACAATTTGTTCATTCCGATAAGGCATTAGTCGACGCCCTAATGAAAAAGCTTTCGACAAGTCATTTGACTATTCTAAAGGTGTGCGCGAGCATGTTATGGAAATGAGGGACACTCGTCGCTCAATTAAAGTCCTTAGAGGTAGAGATTTCCGAGTCATTCTTGGTGCATTTCATTTTGAACTCTCTCCCCGTGGAATATGGTCCGTTTAAGATTTCTTATAACACACATAAGGAAAAATGGTCAATTAATGAATTATTGACCTTGTGTGTTCAAGAAGAAGGGAGATTGAAACTTGAGAAACCCGAAAGTGCTCATTTGGTTTCTCAAGCTAAAGGAAATTTCAAGAAGGGTAAAAATGTTCTAAAAGTGAAGAAACATGAACATATGCCTTTAAAGCAAAATGGCAATAATAGTAAATGTTTCTTCTGCAAGAAAGGGGAACATGTTAAGAAAGATTGCCCTAAGTATCAAAAGTGGCTCATGAAGAAAGGTAAACTCATCTCTTTAGTGTGTCATGAATCTTTTTTATTGAGACTCCTAATAATACATGGTGGATTGATTCTAGTACTACAATCCATATTGTGAATACCATGCAGGGCTTTCTGGACCTAAGGAAGCCGAAAGGAAATGAAGAAGGCATCTATTCAGGAAATCGGATGCGCTCTAAAGTTGAAGTCGTGGGGACTTTTAGATTAATTTTAAAATATGGATTTATTTTGGATTTGGAAAATGTTTTTTATGTTCCATCATTTTCTAGAAATTTGATTTCGGCTTCCGGACTATGTAGTATTGGCTATGGATTTTTGTTTAATGAAAACATTTTTAGTATTTTGAAAAATAAAATCTCTATTGGTGGTGGAACATTAATTGGTGGTTTATATAAAATTTATCTAGACTCCACTTTTGAGCTCAACTATTTATCGATGCATGTTAATACAGGTATTAAAAGGAGCAAAATTGATGAGAATTCCTTCACATTGTGGCATAGGAGATTAGGTCACATCTCCATTGAAAGAATTAAAAGATTGGTGAATGATAGAGTTTTAAATGCTCTTGATTTTACCGATTTTGGTACTTGTGTGGATTGCATAAAGGGAAAGCAAACTAACAAGATCGCTAAAGATGCCACGAGGAGCTCGAAATTTTAGAAATCATACACACCGACATATGTGGACCGTTTAATACTCCTTACCTAAATGATCGGAGATATTTTATCTCATTCATTGATGACCATTCTAGATTCATATATCTTTATCTTTTACATGATAAGGTCGAAGCACTTGATGCTTTTAAGACCTTTAAGGTTGAGGTAGAGAAACAAAAGGAAAAGACCATTAAGATTATAAGGTCCGATAGAGGTGGAGAGTATTATGGTATGTACACCGAAAAAGGACAAATGTCAAGTCCATTTGCAAAGTTCCTTGAAGGAGAGGGCATTATTGCATAATATACAATGCCCGGCACACCACAACAAAATGGTGTAGCCGAGAGAAGGAATCGTACTCTTATAGACATGGTTAGAAGCATGATTAGTAATTCTAATTTACCATTATCCTTATGGAGTGAAGCATTAAAGACTCGCTGTGTATATTCTAAACAGGGTTTCATCCAAGGTCGTCTCTAAGACACCTTTTCAATTATGGAATGGATGGAAACCTAGTTTAAATCATACACATATATGGGGTTGTCCTCGTTGAGGTAAGGATTTATAATCCTCAATTAAAGAAATTAGACCCTAGAACAACCAATGGATATTTCATTGGTTATGCAGTAAACTCTAAAGGATATAGGTTTTATTGTCCTTCTCATAGTACAAGAATAGTAGAGGCAATAAATGCTAAATTTCTTGAGGATCTTAACCTTAGTGGGAGTGATTTTCCTCGAAGAATAGAATTTGAGAAAACACAAGATTCAACTATATTGCATAAGGATAAAAGGAAATTGGTTATTGTTCAAGAAAGTCAATTAAATAATGTTGAACAACAACCAATTCCCGAGCAACAAGTTCAAGAGCAACTAGTTCTCGATGAGCCAAACCCACATGAAGATGTTGAATTAAGAAGATCTTCAAGAGTAAGGAGATCGAGAATTTCTAATGACTATGTTGTATACCTTTAAGAGTCCGACTTCGATGTTGGACTTAAGAATGATCCAAACTCGTTTTCACAAGCCATGAATGGAGAAAACTC